ATAGCATATAGCTGCCATACAAACTGAACGATCGACATCAAGTGCTTGTATAGAAAACTCTTTCATTTGACGAGGTATCTTCAAGAAATTTGGCATGAGTTATTGTTTGAGGCAACAACGTAATATCCGAAAAACTTGAACAGATCGGATGACTATAACATATAGCTGTCATATTAACTGAACGGATTAAAGTCCTTGTATGGAAAACTCTTTCAGTTGACGAGGTATCTTTCCGAAATTTGGCATGGATTTTTATTTAAGGCAACAATGGAATCTCCGAAGAAATTGTATAGATCGGATGACTATAGCATATAGCTGCTATACAAACTGAACGATCGGAATCAAGTGCTTGTGCTGTTTCAATTGACGAGGTATTTTCACGAAATTTGGCATGAGTTTTTTTTTTTGGCACCTAGTTACATTACTTATATAGTAAACCTCACTTGAGTCAATTTAATCCTTGCTTCTTGCAAAGCGCATCCATTATCTTGTATTTTTCAGTTTTCCTTGGCATTTTTAACGAAATACTTATTTTGGGAAATAATGTAAATCTCTGTTTTTCAATCAGCTGATTTACCACAACAAATTTATAACGAAGTTTTCACAATCGTTGCGTTTTTTTTTACATTTTTATTTATGACTTTGTGAGACTGTATGAATTCCCTAAGTATATTATAATGATTTTAAAAGTAAATGTTATTGTAATTACATATTAAAGAGGAACATATAAGAACGCTCGAGGCTTTGTGAAGGATGACAAATATAGTGTCGATGCGCTCTGGAACGAATTGGTTACAGAGCTTTATGTACTTTTAAAAAGGTAAAAACCAGAAATTTTCCTTTACTAAAGAAATTTTCTTAAGCTAATGTTTGATAAGGTTTGGATGGATGAAAGGCTGTCACCAGGAAAAAAGTTACCCACAACACTCCTAAAGCTAGAGCTACTGGTGGAGGGCCATTTAATAAATTCACACTAACCGCTACGGCAGATACGATTGCCCAGTTGTGTGGAATATACGCCGTTACGGGTATTTTGAATTAAAAAAGATAAAATTTTTTTTAAAGTCCATATATTAATATTTGTACTATGAGCGTTTGCTAATAATTTTACGAATTTGCATGAATGGCTATATTATTTTGCATTCCTGTAGCCTCTTTGTGTGGTCTCGTGTATTACTCCTTCATTAATAGTAGGCCCACTTACATCATCTATAGAATCATATTCTACTAATTAGTGCACTTTATAGTAATTGTAAATATTATGCAGAGCACAGCAAACATTTTTCTTCTTGAGGTTGGGGGTCGGCTTTAGAATACCGTCCCAGGATTTCGAGGATAAAATAGGTATGGGCAGATAGTGGATGTTCTCCAGATCATGAATAGATATAGCCGTGGCAACTTATAATTTTCAAGGAAGTATTTTCGATTAAAGCTGAAAATTTCAACATTTATATTTTTGACTTTAATATCTACTTACACTTCACTAATTCGTTTGTACACAATTTTTTCACATTATATGTATAGTGCAAAAATACCTTTATTCAATTGTTAATACATTTTTATAATTGTTCAATTATATTTATACACACAATAACAACATGGTTGCATGTAAACGAAAAATAAGTGTTACCATACTAATATATTTTGCAAATGAAAATAAATAAAACAAAAGAAAGAGTATATAGAGTGATGGGCAAAGTCCGGTGTGTTTTAGTAGAGTACCTGCCGGCGACGGCTTTACCTCACGGTGCTCCAAAGCACAATGTATCAAAACAATGCGTTGATAAGCGCCCCAAATAATACGAGCTATTTGCAATTATTTATTTGGTTACCAGTGGCCGAGGCCGACCTAAAACCTCTTTCGTTTTCGGGTACGGAACCCAGTTGCTTACGCAAGTTCTTTTTTTGAACTGAAAATTCAGTTCTTCCAGCATTTAGGCTTAAACAGCCACCACGATACTCCCCAAAGGGCCAAACCCAACGCGCAGATTGAACCGAAGTCCAAGGGCATTCTGCTCCCGTGGTACCAGAGTTGAGTCTCTGGTAAGACTGTGTAGCCGAAGCTACTGCCAGTTGAGCTACCCATTACTCATTGACTGGTGACATTTGTCGCTTGAACTTCAAATGTCTTTTTATTTGGAATCTCATTTAAAGTCTATAATATATTATAGCACTATTTCTGACATCATTACTGTGCTGATATTTCTAGGCAAGGTAAAATAACAGTCATAGTGCATTTGGCTTTTAGTCGTCTCTTACGACAGGCATGCCTTACCGCGGGTAAATTCTTACCACTAGCCGCTGGGGACACCCAGAGTGATGGGCAATAAAATATCTTTCAGTATTTCCCTTCTCTTGAGAAACCCCAGTATTGGACTGTTAAGGATTATGCAGAAGGGAATTCTACGCGAACAACTAACGATGTCTTATTTATTTCCTGCCATTAGGGTATAATCTATTTTCTATATTTCTTACAGTTCATTTAAAAAAGATGTCGATAAGTTTTTTTGTACGAGGAGGAAACTTTAATCCGAACTGTTACCGTCATGTACTGATCCCCCCGGTACCACCGTCAAGTAGTACGTCGGGAGGATATTTTAGCAATGCTCATACGTTTCTAGTAATCTCAATTCATTCATTGAAGTGAACACAAGTTGCATTTACTTGGCCCCACCACTGTTGGTCTCTTTTCCGCTCCCACATAATGTTTGTCGCCAAACCCTTCCCATACTCTTTAGTAGTTTTGGTATGCGTTTGTTTGATCCGCGTTGTAGTTGTTCGTTTAGTTTTGCAGTTGCCTTCTCCGGTGCTGTTCTCGGCTTCTTTGAGCTTTTATGAATTCGGCGGCTATTTTGCACACATCATTCCACTTCTCTTTTGATTCAACCATTTGGTCTACTAAATTTTCTGGGGTTGGGTCTATACCGAATACACTCTTGAGATCTCGGCTCTCTTGCTCGGTATTGGGGACAGAGGCACATCGTATGCTCCACATTCTTCATTGCCTCGCCTCGCTTGAATCGTTTCAAATATGCTTTGAAACATACATACCCTGTGAGAATTTGAGTTAAGCAAAAATCTACCTAACCGTGTGGTCTTTTTAGCCATGAGTCAATGTTGGGAATCAGTCGGAACTTCAATGACCATTTCGACTGACTTCTCACCGTCTCTGTTAGCTTTTCAACGTCTTTGTTCCAGCATTTTCTTTTAGGATTCTGGGGGATAAGTCCTTTACAGGCTTCTTAATCTCTTTGGCGAAGAGGTCTAATGAGTGAAAGTCGGCAATTACAAGGTAGCATCTTCCGACACCGTACGAAACGGCACTCTGAGTGCGTAAATCGCATATGTGGTAAATAAGAGTCGTCGGTAAGATTTTATATCGAGTGTTTTTTCTCATAATTCAACGCCATACGTCTCCCGGGTTCTCCTGCCAACGATAAGCACAGCTTCAGTTTTGCTCTCTACTAGGGTAAGTTCATTAGTTTCAAGTCGAGGGTTTCAACCATACAATATACTGGGGGATGATGATTGCGTCAGGCTGCTTGGACATTAATACGTCACAAGCTCTCTCAATAACGGTAATAAATATGGAGGAGGAACTATTAGTCGACAGCATATTCTCGGGTAAAGTAGTTAGTTTAAATGCCTCTTCGAAGGGGTCTTACACTGCTCGGTTCACTCTGCCGTTTGTGTTCTGCATTTATTTCAAACACAATAGCATATTAATCACTCAAAGTATAATGATTACTAACTTCCGATCTGCGAACTAGGTTTGCATGGACGAAAGTCAGATCTATCACTGACTGCCGTCCACCTTTGTTGAATGTGAGTTGGTGGTTGTTGGTGTTTAACAGCTCAAGATCAAGGGAAGCAAAAGCTTCTAGTAAGATTTTGCCCCTACTATATGTATTTTGCATCCCCAATCAATTACAGTCACTATATGGTCGATGATGCTCTTAAATTCTACATTATTGATGCTAGGAGGCAAATAGCAACTATAGATATTAATATCGCTCTGCTTTTCGAGGACTGACTGGTTGCAAAAACCTCATCTTCTAGGGTTTGGGCCGCTTTCTTGTATACCGGGCACCTAACGCTCCCAGTGAAGTGACCAGTTTCACTAGAGCCTGCCTTCAAGCAAAGCAAGCATTTTGGCTTATTGATGCAGTCCGTAGCCACATCTTTTACAAAGTTTTGATCAATCTTCGTTTAGCAGCTCTTCACTGTGTGACCATAAACAAGGCATCCGAAGCATCGCTGTGGCTGCCTGTTCTCTCGGATATGGCACATTACCCACCCTACTTTTAATTTCTTGGATTGAAGTAAATTTTGGGATTCTCAACAGGGAGGCTCGAGATGGTCAAATCGTTGTTATCAACTCTCTCTGTAGCCATACAGAATTTATTCCTTGGTAGTAATTGCATCCAAGTTTTTACACTCTATAAGGGTCTACTGGGTCAGTACTTTAAAGCTAGCTTGGTCCCCAAGACATTTCCTTAATATTTCCTGCGAATCGGCTGGCATTGCTGAACCGCTTAATTGTAGCAACATTTCACCGCATTGCGTTTTTCTTTTCGAATTCGCTAAGGGTAGAGTCGGATTTAGTTATCCTAAGAATCTCAGCATAGGTAAGATTTCCATTTTTCGCAATTAATATCGCCTGGGATTTTGCAGTTTGTGGTTAAGCTTTTCTAGCTACAATATTCCACGGCTCTTTTATTAGAGTTTGAGGGTCATTAGAGTTTTAACCTACACTTTTAGTTCGCTGTGTTTTCAAGGGATTTACAGTGCTTTCAAAAGTGTGAGTCAAATTTGTGTTTGCACTGGTTCTTGGTTCTTGCATGATCGCTTGCTTTGATGCTGAGTCTGTTCATCTGCTACTGATTCATCCGTGTGCAAAGCTCAGCCTCTTTTCGGCTGAATGATTGGGTGGGTTGATGTCTCTTTAAATTCAGTGCGATTTCCTATCTATGATGTTTCTCATATTCTGTGTTGAGTGTTATTACCCGTCGGTCAGGTGACCGGAGAGTTTTATTGTTCCGTACGAATAGGCTAATTTCATTAATTTCGATTTTTTCATAGGTTTTGCTTATGGTATTTGCTGCTTTCGCTGTAGCTGACATTTTCGCAGCCACGTAAGCAATATCCCCTAGAGCTAGTGATGAGCAGAGATTATTCAAGATAAGGCCTCAGGAATTTCTCTCAAAGTGAATTGTGGGTTTTATGTTAATGTGAAGAAACGCAGAAAAGGGAGATGACTATATGAACGGATGAGAGTGCGCTCTTTTTAAATTCCCCATTTGCGTAACTTCTCCTAAAATAAATACATGTTTTAAATTAAAAATAGCACTCACCGCTTCTACTATTTTGCTGTCGTTTGGCTTTAGTGCAGGTTTATTGGTTGTGTGTACACTTTTCGATTTCGCGCACTTGAGAACTAAAATCACTTGTGTAATCCTTGTTCTGTGTTCCATATAACTTGATCGATAAGGTAACACTGACTATTTTTCAGTATGTAACCGTTTTTGTTATTGTGTGAATAAATCGAATTGAACAAAAAATTAAATATTGAATAAAAGCTATGTTTTCACTATATAATGTGAAATAAGTGTGATGTATTTTATCCACGAAATCCTTCGACGGTATTCTAAAGATTTCCGAAAGTAAACCAAATCACTCGTTTTTGTATCCATTTTAATTTCCACTTTCACTCGGATTCCAGAACCTGAAAGTAGTAGTAGAGAACATGATACTGCGTTGATGAACCCACACAAGTAAGATAACAAAATAGCCTGATGCTATTGATAAAGACAGTACATTTACTGCTACATTGCATTATCAGCAATGCACTTGTCAGTTTAGTCTACAGGTGCCACGTGCCATTGTTAGTGTTATCCTTATTGCACCACAGATGCAATGAGCTTTCCTTGAACACATAGCAGCTTCATAGCGAATGTGATTTTTCCATGCGCTCTCCACCAGACAAGAACCCCTTAAATTATTATTGGCTTGACTAAGGAACGAAAAAATCAGTGCAAATTCATCAAAAGCCCATTAATCACCTCCGATTATTATTGAAGGCTTCATGACACTCGGAGTGCAAAGCAGTGTCTGCCGACCTGTTGTACAGATCCACGAGGCTTTCTAAAATATTTATAAAAAGAAGAAAATACACTGATAGGCCTATATTTCTTGGCAGTGACGTAAACGCTTTTACTAGTCCTGCCTCCAAACCACCGGTATGTTATACTGCTGGCTAAAGCTTGATAAGTATGACACCGTCAGGTTCCGTGGCCTTAATGAGCGCCCAAGGGAGACGACGCTCTTCCAGAAGATCTGAATAGGTGTACATCCTTCTCGATACTTTCCGTAGATCGGTTACGAGGAAAGTAAACATTTGGAAGTCACCAGCTCAACTTCTTAAATACAAGCAGGCACCTACGCTTACAAAGAGGGATCTAGAAGAATATATGCTATATATATTGTATATAGCAGGCCCCACTTTCTAAAATGCCAAATTAGCACTAGAACCGCTTTTACGGGCCGCATTAAACAGTCTTCTTAAGTTTTTATCTATGATAGCCCCGATGTCTCAAAGGATTTCCCTGCACCTTTCTAAGGTCTACTTGTCATGTTATTTTGGTTTAATATTGCTTGGCATTTCATTATGGAAAGACTAACGCCTAAACAACAAATCGTTCAACTTTATTATGAAAATTCACGAAAATGTGTTTCGCTCCCTTCGCTCAACATATGGTCTACTGAGCTTACTATTCGCAACATCATCAACAATCTTGAGAACCAACTTGCATTATTGGTTAATATTCGACCGAATAGACCACCTCCAGCACGCAGTGAACAAAATATAGCGGCCGTAGCTGAGGGTGTACATGAAGACCATGGAGAGTCGATTCGGCAACTTTCGCAGCAACTCGAACTGACGTATGGAACGACTTGGCACATTTTACGTCGATATCTTAAATTGAAAGCGTAAAAAAGACAACTTGTACAAGAACTGAAGCCGCTTGACCTTCCCAAGCGACGTCGCCTCGCTCTATGGGCTCTGGAAAAGTTCCAAGAAGATCCGACGTTTAAAATTCTGGCTCAATGGGTATGTAAATACGCAAAATTGCCGCATATAGGACGAAAAGCAACCTGAAGAGATTCAAGAAAACAGCAAATTTTATGTACATACATGTGTTGAAAAGAAAATTAAGTGAAGTGTCATAATCTTGCATTTGATTTATGCTTCAAATACACGTACACACATACCTAAAAAAGAAAAATTTACACAACAAATGACATATTTACAAGGGTGAAACAAGCACATACATACAGGTAGGAAAATAATAAAATAAAACAATCGGGCGCGGAATCGAAAAAAAAATACAGTCATATATAAATATCATTCAAAACGGGCGCGAAGTATTACAATAATATTATAAAACTACAAAAGAAAAACATAAAACAAACGGCACAGGAGACTACAGAAATTTCTGGAGACTAAAGGAGAAATATCCTTAGTCGAAAAATAAGTGAGTCGTATCATTTCAATTTACATTTTATAAAAAAACCAATTTGCGCATTTATGTATGTAGATGGCGCAGTTTTAACGGTATATAATTGTTCTCCAATTGCAACTTCCATCCCCATATAGCAGTACTTTTAAGAACTACTAAAAACACTACCCGATGTCGCTTTGCTACAATGGAATTTCTAGTATCAAGAAAAAAAAACCGCAAAAATGGCACCAAATGAAAGAATTCCTTACTGCTCAAATTGAAATAACAGATCAAGTAGACAAAAAGGTAGTTAAGCAAAAAAGTCATCAGCACGACTCAAACCAAAACTTTTTCAAACCCCAAACCAGTAACAACTTGCACTATAGTAGACATGTTAATAGAAGAGATTTAAGAAAATTTCTGTTTCAGATAGAAACAATATTGTCTGACGGCACAAACTTTGTATCAACTGTCTGACCAGAAGACTGCGAAAATAAATTTAATTGCGTTTACTGTCGTCGATGACATCATTCATTGCTTCATATTACTATTTTCTAATATATGATATTTCATATTCATAAAACCACCGGATAGGTAGGATAGGGAAGAACAAAACAAATTTACAGTGAAAAATTCAAATTTTCAAATATCGGGAATGGCCGGATAAAAGAATAGATGCCCAAGCAATCGTTTTCTCCCATATTACAAATTTGCTTTCAAGTTATTAAGCAAACAAAAAATATTGCCAAAAACTGCCACAAACCATATTATTATGCAGTGACTTAATACCTCAAATTATGATTGAAGGTATTTAGAAAATCTCCAATAATTTATTAGCACAAAACACAATCTTTAGATGGATTCTAAGGAGTCAGGTGACGAAAAAAATACTTTCATTTACAACTCAGATTGAAAATATTTCAATGGAATATTTAAAGAATAAGCTGAGAAAATTCTGGGAAGTAGTATCATTCAACCTTCACAAGATCAGGCGTGCGAAAATATTTTTCAAGTCCCCAACAAACCAAAACGAACAAGACGTTATGTAGTACGACTTCCATTCAAGCCAAAATTTCCTGAAAATATTGCACACGGCTTAGAAATCGTTTTAGTTTGGTTAGAAAAACCATTAAATGCTTGGAAGACTTATGTATCTAATCGTATATCGCAAATATTGGACTTAGTTGGCACAGCAAAATGGCAACATGCATCAAGCGCAGATAATCCTCGGATCTTGGGACAAAAGGACATATCTCTTCGCCTCACCAGCACTACACTCTGGTGGAACGATCCATCGTGGCTAACATAATCCCACGAATCATGGCTAAAATCTCTACTGCTGATGATGATGATATATTGAATAGATTCATTTCATTTCCTAGGGCAAAGAGTAATTGCTTATATGCTCAAATTCATACAAAAGCTCAAAGAAAACTTTAGCAGAGTAACATATTATTCAGATCTGCAGAATGCTAAGATTTGTCTTATATCATATACACAAACCTGCCATTTCAGTTGTGAGAAATCGAAATGAGAAGCTCACTTTTCGCATTGAACCCATTTTCGGACTCAAAGAAATTGCTCCGTGCTACTGAAAGACTGGCAAACTCTAGTCTGATTTCAATGAAAGGCATCCCATAATTATCTCCGAAAAATCCCCCCTTTTACTACAATGTTCTTAGTATTTCTCCATCAGCTAACTATGCATGATCAAAATCGCTTGATGCAACAAATAGTCCGACAAGCATTTTATATCCCGCACAAAATTCCACGATTTTCATGTGTAAACCTAGCACTGTGTCAAACAGAAAATGCGTATGTAGATCATGGCAGATCTTCCACCTGAACGCTGAAATTTTGCTTTACCATTTATTAATACTTTCCATATAAAAACCCCTATGTTGAAGTCTTCCACCTTTAGAAAGGGTTATGTGGGTATGTTGGTATGTTTTACGACTTCGAGCTATGTTCTAATCTGACTAAAAGGTTAAAAGTTAAAAGCTTTAAGTCCCATTTAAAGAAAACGACTGGTAATCATAAATTCAATTATGGAGGTTACCACTTTAATCGCTCGTATTGAAGCCGTACTAAATTCACGGCCAATCTTATCCCTCTCCAAGATCCCTTCGATTTTACAGCTCTAACACCTGGGCATTTTCTTAGAGGAGCTCTACTTCTGGCCATACCTGAGGCGAAGGAAGACTCACTCACATTAATAAATCGATGGGAAAAAATTAAGATTCTTCATTATGAATTCAGCCTAAGAGAAAGACTACCTTAAGGATCTCCATAAGCGATATCGGTGAAAAAGCCAGAAAGAACACGGTGAAGGAGAATGCGTCATAAAAAATGACGATTGTCCTCCTCCTACAGAATGGCGACTGGGTCACATAGAAGAGGTTCATCCAGTATCTGATAGTCATATAATAGCAGATGTAAGAGCGCAAACCGGAATACTAACGCGGCTACTTGTTAAATTGTGTTTTCTTCCTAACACCGAAGAACAAAAAATAACGAAACCGCGAAATCAAGCGGATATCTAAAAACAAAACGCTGATATCCTCGTTTAATTCAAAATCGTTTTACAAACCGCATTAGCAAAGTAAACCTACAAACACAATTAAAATTTAACAAAATTTTATAAATACATATATAGATGTTATATTATATGTACAATACAACTACAAACAAATAGCAAAATTAAAATTAAGAACGAAAACACATTTTTCACATGGTACCAAGAATATTCTAGTCAACCCACTCACTCCAGCACATCCCCAATGTCATCAGCCGCAGAAGCCGTGGAGGACAATGAGGAGCAACCGTTTTTTGATCCGGGGCTTCCAAGGTGCAGTTTGTGCCATCGAACACATGCAATGAAGAGATGCTCAATATTTAAGAGCATGAAGCCCACGCAACGAAAGCAGGTTGCAAGAGCACACGAACATTGCATGAATTTCCGGCAGACATTCACGCCACTATCGAGTGTTTGGTCGACGGCTCGTGTCAGTACTACCCAAGGCCCCACAATACACTATTTCATCGCTTCACTAGACGAGCTAACGCATCTTCAGCCCCTACAAGCAACAGACACAGCTGCGGCGCTTTTTAGGCAATTAATTCACCTCATCAGCACATTCCCCTCCCAACTTTAAAAGGATTATCACGAGAGGAAAACGGAACTTTTTTTGATTTTCGTCGGAGACCTTTTTTCTTTCGTCAAACGATCTTCCTCAGAGGACAATAAGTGAACAAAACCATTTACAATCGTGCTAAATTAAGTGAAGGTGTAAAATAGAGAGAATTGAAAAGAAAACCTAAAGTTTTAAGGAAGAAAAAATTTAAATTAAATTAAATAATTTGTGAAACAAAAAAGCTCCAGTGTATTTATTAAGCGGAAAATTCGTGAGCAGTGAAATGAGTATACACTTACGCAAGATTTTTTAATACAAAGTTTTGACAACATCTGAATTAATTTCCCGGGCTTTGATTCTTGCAAGTTGCAATAGTATAAAATGTTCAGTTGCCCCCGAACTTAGCCCTTCTTTATTTATTATGAATATTGATTTTTACCATAATTTCCTTTTAGATTAAATGCTTACAATTAATAAAAATTAAATTTTTTTAAAACCGAATCGGTTAAAACCATTGAGCTAGATGAACTCGACAATTGGGAAATTCTCTTGGCACTACCGAGATCTCTGAAAGTTATTTTACATCCAAACGAGTACAACTGCCAAATGTTAACTTTAAAATAATTAAAAAAGTAAAAAAAATGGGATGAGATGAAAAATAAGAATCGACCAAAAATTACCGATGCAGTTGCGGTTCTACCCAACACCAATACCAACAAATTCATTTTAAATATCAGCAAAAATGTGCAATCTTTATATTTGTTCCTTTCAGTGTCCTTAGGAAACTTTCAACACATCTTCACCATTGCTAAATTTGTATAATACAGGCAGAGTTAAAAAATCCTCTACTCTCATCAATGAATAGCGTATTCATCGCTCTGTATGATCTTACCTTAAGTATGCCATAATTTACGTAGCAAGCCGGATAATCGATATCAACTGCATAAATCCGTTAACAAAATTTTGCTTGAAGTGTTGTCAAACTTTAACTTTTTTGTGGTATTACGTTTTTCCACTCTGTGCCAGTGGAGTTGACTAGAATATCAAAAAATTTCAATTACTACTAAGCAGTTGTAGTTGAATACTACTGCATTTATTTAGGAAAAATATTAATAGGAAACGCGAAATAATAATACAATGTAACATATTGCCTTTATAATAAAACAGTTGATTGAAGTCAATTAATAGAATTTATTATAGTACAATGTTGTTTATAATTGAAGAAATTTCAGTAAATTAAATAAACAAGGAACAGAATAAAAGAAGACTTTGAAATGAAACATAAAATTTACAAATAATAATGCAAGGCAATTTTTGAAACTATTAAATTTATACTTTTTTTTGCTGATTGCAATTTTTGGATATCGTTTTAAATTAATTGTTTATTTACCCCATTCTTCTCGCCCATTTCTAACCCTAATATTAATTAATACAAATAATTAAAAATGGCAGATGGGCGAATCCTTTATTAGTATAATCAGTATATATGTAATCATGATTATTTGTGATTATATGAAATATTAATCACAAAATACGGGGGACTCAACTTTCACTAACTTTATCACCATTGCTATCTTTGCCATTAGTCAATACCTCAGTCTTTTGAAGGTTAGGTGAAGAATTTGGCATATTACTCGAGTGTTCTAAGTTGCCATTATTTTGGCCAGTTCCGATAGTGTTGTCATTTGTATTCTTTAAGTGTTTCTCTATTTCAGTTCGAACCTTAGCTATATCCTTTTGACTAAATAAACGACAGTTAAAAGTTATTAATATTTATGTATATTTCTAACTTGTTTATGACCTACCTGATTTGAACGAACAAAATTCCATTTATTGTGTTAAGCATCTCCAAAACAGATCCCATGGTCGGTGGTTGTATGTGAATTGGAGGCAACCCAGTACCTAATTTGCCATTGGAATATATATCGTTCATTTTGCGTTGCAAAAGTACAGCTTGCTGTGTAAGTAGACGCAAGCATTCCGCAGATTCTCGGGTTTTCTCATGAGCATCTCCCAACTGCAATCCGAAAAAATTTATATAATATCAGCAAAATTAAACATTTCTTAAATATATTTAGCTAGAAGTATTAAAATAAAGAGCCTTTTCACGTAAGAAATATAACGTTGACTCCTCCTTGGTAGTATCTGAGGTTACTATAATATCAAAGCGAAACATCACGCCTTTTGGAAGGGACAAACTGAGTGGAAAAGCAATGGACCACCTGTATCAGGAACCGGCAAAGATAAAACCAGTCACGATGTCAGCGGAGCAATAAAACCTGTTTAAGGCAACATTCATCGATGATCTAATGGACCTTTTCTGTTCGTCGTCCTGTTGTTGTTGTTGTTGTAGCGGTTATCTAGATCAGATCGAATAAATCAAGCGACATTAAAGGTTATCGTTAGCGTCTTCACGACGCGGGTTATTCTCTCATATAGGAATAGAATAAAATGAAAACTCAGACGAAGTAGCTATCACGCAACAGGAAATACAGTTAATGCATAAGCTGCCGTAGACCAGGCAGGTCCTTCAAGGATTGCTAGCAGAAATGGACTCTAGAAGAACACCTTAGGTCTTGGAACACTAGCCTTTGGAATAGTTCGATGTCTTACTTAACCAAGAACCCCTAATAATCATTAACAATACAAATATTATATAATGAGCTAACATCCATTGTTATAGATTTCCATCAACTGTTTCGATTTGGTAGAAAAATAAAGTTTCGTGGATCAAGAATAAATTTCCTGTTCACCCATATGGCAAATTTTTTTGTAAAAACGCCGCCCGCCAGACAAGTAATGGGTCTGACGATTGTTGTGTACGATTATTTTTGAAGTAAAAATAACCATATGTATGGTATATTATTAAAAAAGGAAGATGGGGTACAAGTTCGGGATAACATAATGTTAATCGAAATATTTTTGCTAAATTTTATTAAGGTATATTCCGCTATTGTCGACGAATATATACATATATTGATTATAAGAGGAAAATAAAGGAGGCTTAAATTATTAGAATAAGGTTATGGGGGATAGATCAAGGTCGAAACCGATTTCATTCATGTTAAGGGCTAAAACACATTATGGTTAAGAAAACAGGTCCACTCAATTGCAATAAAATATCACAGATATTGACCTATATACACACGCCCGAAAAAGTCTGCGTACTCGCTTATATCTTATTTTCTTTTGTTAAAATATAACTTTTATTTACTAAATTAGTACTAGTCTATTGCATAATCCCATAGCATTTAAAGCAGTGGAAATCTGACACCATAGTTTTATAGACAAATTTTCAAAAAAAAAATAGTAATTTGGCAGCGCAGAAAAAGTCTGCGTACAAGGAGTAAAATAGGAATTCTGTACCTACCTATAACCAAATGAAAAAGTGTCGGAAAGTTATAGTTTTACTTCTTTTCGTAAAAGCAATTTTAAAAATTTTTTGTTCAATTTAGTTGGTTATTAAATGAAAAATATCGAATCCCGCCATAAAGAAAAGAAATAAGCCCCTCTGAAATAGAAATAATAACTAAACTTTTCGAAGAAAAACATACGGTGAAATCGGTGGAATTGTTAAGAACACCTTTTTTTATACAAAGAGTTATAAATAAATTACAAACATACCGGCGTTTTTGTATCTCGGCGCGATCAGGGTGGCCAAAAATACTAAGTGCAAAGCAAAAATTGCTTCTAAAATCGATAAAAATGTTAACAAAAATTTAAGAAATCTCTCTGCACTGACACCATTCGCAAAATTAATAAAAATAAAAAAACAGGGTTTTATGGTCAAGTCGCACACAAGAACTTTTTTGAATTTTTATTTAGCGAAAGAGTACTTAAATACGCCCGGGAGTTTTGACAGAAAGTTATTTTTTCGAGGTTAGGCCAATTAAGGGTGGTGGGGCGATAATCCGCACTCCCTCTGTTTTAGAGAGCGAGAAGAGGGAGGAAGTGGCGACTAACGCAAAATTCGGGGAGGTGGGGTTGGACGTGAGTGTCAACCGGAAGTTGGGTCCTAGGGTTGTTGTCCAGGGGGCTCATACGGAGATCTCCCATGAAGAATTCATGGAAGAACTACTCCGGCTGAACCTTCAGGACTTTAGCCCGGCGGCCCACAGGTCTGACGTAAGGTTGGTCAGTCGTCTGTGGAAGGTGGCCCCTGATGGTAGCACCAATGTTGTCATGGAGGGTACGAACAAAACAATCTCCGCCCTCTTGGAGGCAGGTAGGTGCTACATTAAATGGTTCTCCTTCCGGATGCGACCGGATAGCCTCGTTGATGGCTGCTTCCGGTGTATGGGTTTTGATAACAGAGTGGCTGAGTATAGAGCCAAATCAAATGTCTGTCGGAGGTGCGGTCAAGAAGGCCACAGATCTGCCAGTTGCGACAATGCACACCATTAATGCAACTGCGCATTCAAGGGTAGACCAGCTGTGCATCTTATGTCGGCTGACTGCCCGATATACTGTGGGATTGTTGAGCGTGCCCTCGCCAGACACTGATGGAGGGGATTACACAGTTAAACTGCCAGGAAGCGTATGCAGTAATGTGTCAGTTGGGTGGGGGTATGACTGAGAGGAGGAGAGACATTGCCTTACTACGCAACACCAACGGTGCGGTTCGGGGTCTTCCTGGCAGTTTCAAGGTCTTCACGAACCTTGGGGCTAATGCTGTTGCCAATTGTTGTGACTGATCCGAACTACGATTCCGTAGTTGTAAATTCTTCACAACTGGGTGTATGGTCGCGATAGAGGGGGAGTTCGGTAGGCTGATTGTAGCTACTTTGTACTGCAAATTTAGCGAGCCCCTAGAGCCCTACCAGGGCTACTTGGATAAGCTACTACTACTTGCGAGTAGTAGCCCATTTATCCTAGGGCTGGATGCGAATGCCTCGTCTACGATATGGTTTGGTAAGATATCCCGGCATACGTCTGGATATCAAAGCCACAGTCGAGGAGAAGCATTAAGTGAATGGGTGGTGGCTAAGAACCTCCACATTGTCAATGAGCCTAGTGAATGGGACACGTTTGAGGGCCTAGGGGCGTAAGTGACATCGACGTGACGCTTATGAATCAGGCAGCAGATAGGGCGTTCGTAACTAATCCAAATTATGAGCACTCCCAAATCCTTCCCCTCGCGGTATGAGAATCCATTGCGGCGATGGCGTACCTCTGGTATCGACTGGAACCCATATGGACAATCTGTCAGGGAAGCGGTATGCCTAATAGAGTGTTTGAGGATTTGGGGGTTGACGAGCAGATTGCTCGTCTTTATGAGGTAGTTTGGGGGGTCAATGATAGGGTGCTTAGAAGGTGTGAAAGTTTTATGATTAGGAAAATAACGTGGTGGACGCGTGAGTTAACCTCGAAGATGAGGACTTTCAGGCGATTGAGCTTAGGTATGAATTTAGTTATGCGATTAGGGAGTATAAGGAAATGTTGGTTAAAATTAAAAAACAGGAGTGGAGAAAGTTTGTATTGGAAAATAGGGACGACCCTTGGGGTCAGGTCTATAGGATCTGCCGGTGTCGTAAGAGGAAAGATATTGCCTTCGCATTGGTGACACTTTGTTATCAACGTGGAGAGAGTGTGCGGAGCGTTCTTCCCTAGGGCGGAGGTTCAGGTACGTGTGAGAGGGTTATTAAAATTGTTATGGTTGTTTCTCTCCTGAAGTCCTCTGATAAGATCAGGAGCGATCCTGGTTCTTATCGGGGCATCCGCCTTCTTCCAGTACTTGGAAAAGTGCTGGAAAGAGTTATGGTGGAACGGCTTTAGGAGCTAACTCGGGGTATGTGGTCGGATAGGCAGTATGGTTTCAGGAAAGGACGCAGTGTAGATGATGCTTGGTTCTACGTTCAGGGTGCTGTTAGGGAGAATGTCAACAAATATGTCCTTAGCATATTACTTTTCGGACAAAAAAGCCTGCCTAGTCGGAATGAATGGGAGTGTGGAGATCGGAGTGGTCCGTGGCTGACCGCAAGGATCCATCTGCGGTCCATATATTTGGAACCTTATGATGGACTCTCTGCTTGGACAGCTCGCGCCCCTCTGTAAATGTTGCGCGCATGCGGACGACCTTCTCCTTCTAGTTGAAGGTCGATCGCAATTAGAGTTAGAGCGGGCGGAAGGACAATTTTTAGAAATAGTAAATAGTTAGGGTTTAGGTGAAACAGTGATAATGCTGCTTAAGGGCAGATTGTCGCCGGTTCGTCCACTGATTGTCCAGGTGAATGGGATCAGCATCAGGTATGAGACGCTTTGACTTGCGTGGGGCTGACCATGAGTGAAAGGATGTGTTTCACTCCACACTTGGCGATTCTGAAGGAGCGACTGCAGGCAATCGTAGGTAAAATACGACGCATCCTGGGGAGCGGTTGGGGCCTTGGGCGCCGTGCTGTTTGCACCATACAAGTATATCGTGGTCTATTTGTGGCTTGTGCCACTTATAGAGCCGCAATATGGTGGGAATCAGCGATAACGGTCTTGGGTCGCCGAAACCTCCTTTCGGTGCAACGTTGTATGATGATTGCATGTTTGCCTGTATGTCGCACCATTTCAACGGATGCGATGCAGGTTTTATTAGGTGCACCCCCTCTTGACCTGATTGTCATAGAGCGAACTGATGCATTCAGGTTAAGAAGGGGCTTGAGTGTGTCATTGCTGCAAAATTACTAGATTTCCGATGATGGCGTGGAGAGGGAGGCATATGTAGGGAGCAAGAGGCTTCTAGATGATAGGATCAGGAGTAGGTGGAAAGACCGTTGAGACAATAGCCTTAACGGTCGGGTGACTTATGAGTACATCTGGGACGTTAGGTTTGTTGAGGGTAACCCAGACTTCAGATTCTGTCTGAGTCTGGGTTTTTAGTTTACGGGGCATGGACCTCTGAATGCATTTTTGCATCAGAGACACCTTTCGGATAGGTCGGGATGTTTGTGTAGGGCGCAATGTGAAGACTGGGTTGACTTGATCGCGGAGTGCCCAATGTACTCGGACATCAGGGATTTCGGGGTATGG